TCCACAGTTGCTTTAGAGTCTACATTCAGCACTGGAAGATGTGTTTTGGATAAGTTTAGGAGTTTTTTTAATTCCTAAAGTTGTGCAAGCCTTTATTTGTGTTAAAGATTGGCTTTGTCACTCCATTCCTGTGGTTGTAAAAGAGAAATTAGATGATATTTAAAGGATTGAGAGGTAAAATTTTTGTAATATTATGTATGTACTGTGTTACTTTTAAATTCTTTTTATTTATTTAATTTAACTCCTAAATTGATTTCCTTGTAGATTTTCAAAGAACTGGATTGGAATTAGCTATGGATATTGTGTGAACTCTTTAAGGTAGCTCTTCATTATTGCTATGGCAATTGATTCATTCAATTGTGATCTTTGTTTTGTTGCTGCTTTTTATAGTTTTGTAACTTTTGCTTTTTGCTGTTAGATTGTGGCAATTAGTTTATTTAGTGTAACTCTTCTTGCTGTCTGGTCAGTGATTAGTTCTATAATAGCTTGTTTATTTTCTTAATGGCTACCAAGTAAGCTTCTTTGTTCTATAAAGATAATATTTTGGCCAAATGTTTAATTTAACTATTTTTTTTATAATGTAGGCTCAAGCAAAGACTACCATTGGCAGTTGGAAACTTGCAAGTTGTAATGGATTGACTATTTTTTTTTATTTTGCTTTAATATTTTGTGATGATGTATTAGATTAGTTATTTTGGATTATGTTAAAACTCTTGCATTTATTTGTAGTTTTTATGGGATTATTATTGTTATGTGATGGATTATTTTGGATTATTATGAATTTATAGTAGGTGAATTATAAATTTATAAATATATGTGAAACTTATCATTATTTGCTTTCTTTGATAGGGAAAAAATATAATACAAGTGCTAAGTTGAGTAATGCCCACGCCATTATATTTGATTTTTTTGTTTTGGTATGCCTTTTCTTGTTGTCTAGTTTCCAATTCTAGTGTTCCGCGTCATTAAATCTGATTTTTTTTATTTAGTGTAGCTCATCATGTGAAATGGTACATTAGACAGGTCTAGTCCAGAATTCAAATTGTTTTTTCCCCACTTTAGTTGGGGGGATTTATTTCTTAATCAGTATCATGTTTTTTTAGATAGGTCCAATTTGTTGACAAAAAAAAAGCCCAATGTGTTGACAAAAAACATGTCTAATGTGTTTATAAAAAAGCCCAATAACCAAATGAATAACCAAACCGAACCATTAAACTTTGATTTAGTTTTAATTTTGTTCTTTTAAAATTTCAGTTTGGTTCAGTTAAGAAAACTGTTGCACTTTGGTTTGTTGATTTCAATTATTTCAAATCGAACTAAACCACTTTAACCGATACTCTCCCCTAAGTAGGACTCACTTTTAATTTTTTAATATTTTTTATTATACAATTTTACTTATAGGTCCCACATAACTTTTTTTTAAAATATTTTATCTTCTCCTCTCTGTCTTCTCCCTCTCAAATCTATCCTTATCATCTCTCCCTCCATCACCCTCTTCCTTCCTCTCAGCCCACTCTCCTTCTAGAAGAAAAAAATTTGAGGTAGAGAGAGATACAAATAACTTATAGTGAGTTTAGGGGTCATTTATGACTTTTTGTGTATACTTTAAGGACAAAATTGACCTTTAACCAAATTAATAATTTTTAAAAATAATGATTTAAAATAATAATTACATTATAACTAAAATTATAATAATATAGGTAGATTGTTCATTATTTTTACTTTTACAAAATTATATTGAACAAGGTAATATAGTCTTTTATGTAAATATACTCTTCATATTTTATTTATATCATTAAAATATTACATATTTAATTAGTTTTTGAGTCTAAATATTTTTTATTTAGGCCAATAGGTATAACTATCAAGAATAGAGGGTGCAAAGTTAAAAATTTTATGTACCCCATTTGTAATTTTTCAAAAGTGAGGGGATGTATTTGCCCACCCTCACTCAAACATGGCTTCGCCCCTAGGATCAAGAGCCAATCTGTGGGTTGGGCATATTTTGGCCAAAATAATGTATTTCATATATTTTTTTTATTCAATTATTCAAGCCAAGCTTGAATTAGAGCCAATTTTTTGGATTGGCTCAAATGGGCCCAAAACAAACAAAAAAATTGCAATGCTGTTAAGCTCACCCCTAAATTTTTTTTTTAAGTTTATTTAGGTTTGTTTTTGAATTAGTGGCTCTAAATTCTGTTGTTGATGTGAGAATCTTATGAGTTTTTTAATAAAATTATATTAATAATGAGAGAGAGGGAAAAAGGAATGGGAATTTAGGGTGAATTTGTTTTAATTTATTTTTAAAAAATTGCTTTTTTTAAATCTATTTGGTGAGTTTTTATAATCTTTGTTTAAGCTTTTGAAATAATCAAAATCTTAAAAAAATATTTTTAATTATTTTAAGAAGCTACTTTAAGTAGGTTTTGAAAATAATTTAATGCGGTAAATGAGAATGAATATTTTAAAAAAAGCAGGATACGCAAATATATCATAAAATTTTAAAATAATATAATAATAAATTATTTTTATAAAACAGAACTCAAAGAAGATATTATAAAATTTAAAAATAACTAACTAATAATTATTTTTTATTATTACAATCAAATATAAAATAATGTTTTCTTTTTATAAAATCTTTACAAAATAAATCACTTTTTATAAAATCTCTAAACTACCTAAAAATTATTTATTTTTAATCTTAAACAAATAAGCTCTTAATAGTGGACAACGGCCACTATTGTCTTTATTAGATGGCAAATATTTCATTCCCTTTGAGTTAAGTTGGAGAAAATAAATTTATTTAGGTGTAGGGCAAGATAAATTGAACCTGCAGTGGGCTAACCCACAAGTTGGCAGATTAGCCACTTTTTTTTTTAAAGATAGAAAATAAGCTGAAAAGACAAACCCTCACTTGCTCAATTGATAATGACTCTTGAATTCTCAATTAAATTTCAAAATTGGTTCCATTAAATTATCTCAAACTCAAAGCATATAAGTAGGGAAGTGAGTCAAAGAATCAAATTTTAAAAGATCTATAAAAATAACACCAACAGAAGATATCTTAAAAATTAGTTTTCAACTTCATACAAAATACTAAAAAATTAATATACCTCCCATGAATTGAAAGCAAATTAATAAATGAGTTGAATAATTTATTAATGATAGGTGTCGGTGTAGTTGATTATATTTTTTATTACATTAAATGATAATATTATTACATTGTATAAAAAAGAATAATGAAATTAATAGTTAAATCAAAAATCAATGAAACTAGACAATAATATTAGATTAATACTTTTTATATTGTCATTGTTGAAATTCTTTATAACTTATACTATGAGTAAAAAATTGAAAAATTAAAGCAAGTATGGAGCATTGGACATTGTTTAATTATACAATTTCATGGTTTAAAAAAATATATAATTTAATTTTTTAACAAAATTGGGTTAAATTATTATGCGTGTTTTGATTATAAAATAGACAAATATTGACATGATAAATTACATCTAACTAAATTGCGGGTTATGTGATCTGCACAAAATCTAAAGTGGTTTGTTCCATGTTGTTTTGATGAACCCCTTACAGCAATGATTGCAAATTTTATTGTTAATTGGATTATTAGTTTTAAGAGAAAAATATAATTTTTCATCCCAAAAAAAAAATATGTGAATTTGTAATTTCAAAATTGAAAAAATTATAAAGAAATCTGTTTTATTAACGAGTTGTGTGAGTTGGTAAAAATATAACTTACTAAGATGTGGGTTATGCCAGCTCACTTTGCTAAGCTCGCAACCTATAGATTAACTTATATTATTAACTCTATTTCAAATGCATTAGAGGGAAATGAAACAGAGAGCATTCGCTCAAGAGAGGAGATTTTAAAATTTCTAACCATTTCGTGCTCAACCTTTTAATGATATTCCATAAACACCTTTCTCCACGTATCTTTGTCTCCTCACTGGCTGATGCTGATGATATGTGATGATGTTCGTTCGCACCGGAGAAAGAAGGAGCTGGTGATGGTTACCAACAATCATAGAGGTAAAAAAACAAAAACACCAAAATTATTCTTTTGGCTTAATAATAATAAAAAATGTTTAATTAATTTATATATAATAATTAATATAAAAATATTAATAAAACACCCCATTTAAAATTATAATTTAATTGACTGAATTATGATGCAAAGTTAATTTATATAATAAAAAATTAAAAATAAATAAACCAATATGAGAGGGTGTAATAGTAAATCAATTATTATCTTCCCTTCCCTCTCCTCTTAAATCAAACAAGACAAAGAGATTATTAAAAACCCCTCCCTCCTCCCCCCTTAACAAAACCAAATAATGTATCATTAAAATATTCCCCCCTCCCCCTCTTTCGAACCAAATACCTTTTAAAATTTATTAACTTTGTTTCTCCTATTTAATATACATATTTTAATAATATATTTTTTATTTTTAATATTTAATGGGATAAAAGAAAATTTTTGTAATAATAATTTAATGTTGTGACTTATAAATGGAAAAAAAAATTAATATAATTATCTCACACATTCCCTCAACCTCTTATTACTACGAGGGATAGAGAACTCGAATATGCTTGAAAGGTAAGATCATGGAACAGCCTGTGTAATATGATTTACATATTTTAATGTTTATATTTAAAATTTTAAATTGCATTTGACACTGGTCACAAACACTTGCATCTAATTGAATTGAATTTTTTAATATATATATATATATATATATATGAGCCTATCAGTATTGTAAATATCGATTCGTGTCCCAAATAATTTAGTAGTATCATCCTATATATATACACACCAAAATCTTTTTTTTTAAACCTGCACGTCGATCAAAAGGTTAATTATTACAACATTATGTTTTAGCTTTTTAATTTGAATGCATAATCCACATCTATAAATTGGCCTTGCCATATACAAATATATATATATATAGCTCTAGAGACAACTCAGTGTACTCATATATAAACACATGCTACATTTCAGGAAACCTGAGTTGCAAAAATTTGCAACAAATTAACATTGCAGTGAGAAGAATGGGGGACTCCCCTCCTTTATTTAATACGTGACAGAAACAAATTAAATCTGATTATTACCATTATACATATAGAGAGAGAGACTCATTCAATCCATAAGAAAAAATCAAAACCACATCAACCATAAACAAGCATGCATGAAATCCTGCCAAGGTTTGTATGCATAAAACCTTGACATCATACATGTTATTTTATGATTTAATGGGTATACTTGTTCTTATAATGTGAACACATATAACAATTATATTGGATAAAACATGTATAATCATGTGTGTCTTTGTGAGAATTTAATAACTGGGAGCCTCAGCAGGATGAGGGCAAAAGCAAGGGCAGCATTTGCCTGGAGCTGGAGGAGGAGCACAACACAAACATAGAGGGCAATAAATCGGAATTTCTGTAAAACAACATGAATTCAAATAATTATATAGAACCTCAAACGCTTATATTTCAAGATTAGATAAACTTAAAAGTTAATGAAATATTGTTACTAATAATTAATAGGGATATAAAAATATCATCAGAAGAAAAAGGGGGAAAATAGGATTTACTCGGACCTGGAAACGGTGTTGGAGCCGGTCCTCCTGGCGGCGGCGCCCTTGCTGCATCGCACGGCAAGGTCGTCATCGGAGAAAAGATGATGGCAAAGATGAAAAGAGTCAGCAAAGTAAGCTTCAAAGAGTTACTCGCCATTTTGTTAACAAAGAATGTTTATATTTTTCTGAAAGAAGGTTTGTTATGGAGATTTGATGGAAATAAGAATGTTGTTTTTGAGCATATTTATAGTACTACTAGTTTCGCTGAGGCTCATGCATGGGCTTCGTGTTTGCTGGAATATTTGAATTCTAAGTGTTGAAATACTTTTAGTCTTCAGAATCTTTATTTTCAAAGTCAATATATCGGACTTGACGTTACTCGATCTGTTCATTCCCAACGGGATACGTTATTGGTGTTCACAATGCGTCGCGCAAGATTTCCATATTTTTATCTTTATGTTGAACCTATTTATGATATTTTAATAACAATAATTACTTGTTCATTGAGTATTATAAGATACTTTTAACTTGCGCCCCAAGAGTTTAGTTAATGATATTTAAAATTAATTTTTATTCATGTTTATCCGTTTTTAATAGGCTGGCTCAATTAAAATTTTTTATTAATCACACCCTTGATTGAGGATATTTTTTAAAAAAACTTATTAATTACAATTTGAAAGATTTAAATGCCTTATACTTCCCCTGATTTTTAATATAAGACAAAGTTTGAAAACTTTTGTGATCTTTAATATAAGATAAAATTAGAGTAATTATTTTTTTAATTTTACCCTTTTTTATTTATAATCATTTGAATTCCTAAGCAACACAATTTATTATGATTATTAATTGTAAACAATAGTAAAATTAAAAAGTCATATTTTTTAAAACATTTTTAATAAGCGTAAAGTTGGTTAACTTTGTCTTGTTTGAAGAATCAGAGCTTCAGAAAAAAAGTGTCTTTTATAATACTGAATGGCTTATTTCTTAGAAGCTCTTTTGGAAAACTTTCTATCCAAACATGTTTTCTTCACCCCCAATTAGCTATGGCAATGAAGACCGTTGTCTTTTGTGTACAAAATGCTCTTTAAATTCAAGCCTCTTAGCCAGCTTTGTCCTTTATATAATTAGAACATAGCTCTGGAAAAAAAATTTCACTTGGAATTCTATCCTTTAAACATGACTTGTTGAATTTTAGTCTATATACTCCATTCAGTCCTTATTATAAGCTGCTTTTAATTACTTTTCTAAAATCAAGAAATGAAAGTTGACTCATTAAATATATCTTAAAATAAAAAAAAATCCAACTTTACCTACTGTAAAAATAGGGAGGAGAGATATACACAATTTATGATGAGTCACAAAATTAAACTTATGACATAAATAAAATTAAAAAATTGTAATAGATAACCTTCCATGTATCTTATACCAAGGGTCAAATAATTTTTTTAGAAGGTGCCTATAATATGAAGAAGAAAAGGTATATAAAAGGCTTAATTGAAATTTGGTGGATAGGATAACTGAAGTTGGCCTAATTCCATTATTACACAAACTGTTACACACAGATATTTTAATTGCCACCATTAAAGGCTTAATTTGCTGGGGAATAAATCCCAATAAAATGAAATCCGGAAAACATCGTCTTTCAGGTATTTAATGAAAGACTTTTTTCTGCATCATTAAGATTTCTAAATTGCAGCCAACAATAGGAATATTGGTCGGCTTGAAAATGCACACATGCAATGGGATAATTCTTCACTTGCCCAATTTTTAATGAGTGTGTTGACCCTGAGCTTCAGTGAAGTGATTGGGGTTTCAATCAACGCAACCAAGTGAGGAGGCAGCTCGACTACGATTCAAATTGAAATTAAATAAGTGCCCGTTTAATTGATGAGAAAGAAATATGAAATGAAATGAATAATATAATAAAATGAATTAAAATAGGTAATGAGTTGATAGAAAGGTAAAAATGATTAAGAGATGAAAGCTATGGATTGATAGAAAGATGAGAATGATCGTTTGGCGTAAATAAATAATTAATACAACATAGGAATTTTATAGAAACCCAAAATTTAAAAGTAAAACAACAAAAAAATAGTTACCAAATTAAAAAAAACAAATCTTTTTACACACTTATTTATTAAAATTTTCTTATAGAAATAACTTAACAATTTAATCCTATATTTCTTTGAATACCACACACATTGTCATATGCATTTTTTTTTTATTTCTAACAGATATCCTTTTAGTAGAGGCAATCCTGTACATTCCAGGTTTGTCATATGCATTTTCAATTGTAGTTAACAAATTTAAGCCAAATCTATGTAATATTTTTTTGTCAGCCAATAAATTTTTAATTAGTGGTTAAACAAATCCTGAATAGTCTGTGAAAAGAAGTCTCTAATCACTGGTTAAAAAGCATCCTAATAAATAAGGCTAAGCATCCAAACTCTTCAATTTACACACGGAGTCTTTAAAATCATTTAATATCATATCAGGCTAAAAATAATAAAAATACATTAATCTATAAAGTTGAAGAGAGAGAGAACATGCATCATCCAAATCTATTTTTTTTTTTTTTTGGGGTACAAGAATGGGGCTAAACAGCCCAAGATGAACATCTGAATCTAAATAATTTTGCCCACCAAAAAAGAGTGAAAGAGAAACTGAAAGAAAAATTTGTAGATAGAAAATGCATTCATATAGTTTCATGCATTCACTTAAAAGAGATGGGGAGAGAACATACACATGATTTAATTTGAATCTAAATTTTACCTCCCAAAGAGAATGAAAGAAAACTGTTGAAATTTTTGCGGATTGAAAATGTATACTCGAAGTTTCATACATTCACGGCTTGACGCACTCGCTGAAACGCCTACTCATTCCCCTGACAACTCATTCTTCTTGTTCAGGACTATAATCATTCTTGATGCTGAAAATGTTGGGCCCAAGGAGTATCTCCGAATGGGGAAAACACAAGTAGACAATGGCGGTACCTTGGGCCAAGGGTGAAACATTTTTTTAGATTTTCGCTGAATATATTTAAAATTTTTTTGAAATCCAAACATATTTAAAGTTGAGCTAAGATGTGCAAAATATTGAACCAAAAAATATAAAATAATAAAACATATAACTCCTTCTTGTAATGTTCTTCAAATTCAAGAAGTGCATTTGCCTCCGAATTACACATAGCGCCACCCGTGAAAGTGGGCTGCTCAATGATTCCTGGAAGATACGTGTTAGTGAGTATGAAACCACATATTAATCAAAAATATTAATGCATTGAGTTTATTAAGTATATGATCACATAACATAATTGGGCTTTAATATTTCAAGGATCATTCATTAACCCATTTTAACAAATTAATAAAATAATGGGTTATCTTGACATTAAAAATACTTAGTGTCCGTTAATCATCAGTAAGTTTCATTATTTTTTTAATATTCTTATTAGGTTAAGGTTTATTTTTGCCCCTCAATTTAAGTATTTTATAATAAAAATAGTATTAAAAAAATATAACGTGAGACCCACTAACAGTCAACTAAAGAATTGACTCATAGTTAAATTTAAAAATATTTATAACTTTTTGTGTACAGTTCAGGAATAAAAATAACTTGTAATTCTAAAATAATTGATGTGAATCCGCTCGTAAATTTCCAACAGAAAATCCTTCGTACCTCCTCCGGACTCTTGTCCTTGATTCTATCGGCCACAGTCTGGCATGTTAGATCCATGAGGCTCTTTATATGGTAGCATAAGATTAAAGATAGCATCCTAGCCCACGTTCATAGACTCGGCGCCCCACTTATAGAGCTCTATGTCGTTACCGTCGACGTCAATGAGGGCCGCAATGGCATGCTTCTGGCAATCCTCGATGACTTTGAACGAAGGTTAATTGGCCATTCACATTCACTATCTGGATTACGTCGTCAACACTACAAGCTCCCCCGAGAACATGCCTTTCAGAACCTGTGATTTTAGCACGGTCGGCTTTTACATCTATATATCTCAAATAGGTTTTCGTCGAAGCCACCTAGAATCAGCTTCTCAGATGAACTAGCTTCTCAGATGATGGCATTTTTGTCGTTGTTCGATAGAAAAAGCATGGATCTGGAGAATTCTTTTACACGGTTTCCTTTTGTAATGATAGAATTAGTAGTATTTTTAGAAATCTTTTCTTTAGAGGGTGAAATAGTTATATTATATATGTAGACACGCATATTTCAAGATAGGATATACTTGGGTGAGAATATAGTGTTCAACATTGAATACAATAAAAATAATTTAAACTTAAGAGTGTAATTTTTTTCAAGAAAATTAAATATTACTTCATGCATAAAAAATATAGTATATTATTTAAATTTGTTATATTATACTAATTTCTTATTTTTCAAAATTCCGTAGATCAATAAATCAATATTTTTTTAAAAAAATTGCATATAGTATTAATCAATCCATTACAAAAATAATACTTCAAGATTTATAAAAATAATACAACAGGACAATTTTAATTTCTACAGGGTCATTAAATTATTCGTCATTCAAATTTGCTTGCCTTGCATAGTTTTCAATTATTAAATTTTTTTAACTAAATTTCAATCATTAAAGTTGCCACTGCTGTGAAAGTTTGTGAGTACTTTGGTTTAAGTTTCTTTTTCTCAACAAATAGCCACACGAATATTTTCTTATTTGACCTAAATTCAAATGAAAACTCAAGATTTTCATTCTTGCACAATATATTTAATTTCTTAGGTTTTGGACGCATTTGTTACGAAATTGATTTTCTATATAATGATTACGCGCTAAATTGATTTGTGAAAGGAAAAAAGTGAAGGACTTTCTTGAAAATATAACTTGTATATGTTCATGCGAGATAGTATATATTTTTCATTCTTAATTATTTCCTTTTTCAATTATATTTTTTTACCAAAAATATGCCCTTGAATTGCTCACAATATAATATTGGAAGAATCACATTTAAGGCCTCCAAATGAAAAAAAAAAAGAAAAAAAGAGCAACGAAGGCCCAGAATAACAGAAGCTTCAACAATACAAAAAACATTAAGATTCAACGATTCAATTGTGCATGTTGAACTTTTTAATATTTTAGGTCCTCACTGCTACTCTTTTCATTTGAAAGTCTTGAATGTTATTCTCTCTATAATATTTGGAATTATGACCTCTGTTCCCTTGAATGAACAGGCGCCATAATAAGATGCCAATATGCAGGAACAGGCGTCATAATGGTTCGTATAAAAAGGAACATGGAAAATACTAATAACACATACTTTACTTGCTAGAAGAAGAAGAACACATACAATTACAATAAATTAAAACATAAGCTGCAAAAATTGCATAAAAAAAGAAACAGGCTGCCCCTTTTATTTAATACAAAGAAAACAAAGTTGATTATATATCATTATATTGAGCTAGCACATTAATAATATAAAAGCTTAAGAACCTATCTGAATTAGTTGCGCTTGAACCCCATAACACATTTATTCACGTCCTAATTTATTTTATGATTTGTGTGGCACACACCAATTATTTTTGTATATAATTAAGAACCTATCTGAATACTACAATCAAACATACTCATAATGTTGCGTGAAGTTTTAAATGCTGGGAGGTTTAGCAGCAGCCACAGGTGGCGGCGGAGGAGGACGAGGACATGCGCAGCGGCAGCATTTGCCCGGAGCTGGAGGAGGAGCACAACACACACATCTTGGACATATGGGAAACCCTAAAGCACAATGTTATAATGTTCATCTGTTCAAAATTACTAGCGTATCTCAAATACTGATGCACAAAAAAAAAATATGTATGTATGTATGTAGAGAGAGAGAGAGAGAGAGAGATAGGGTTTACTTGGCCTTGGTGGTGGTGCCGGCGCTGATGCCGGTGATGCCGCCGCTTCACAAGGCAAGGTCGGAGACAAGATCAGTGCAACGATGAAAAGAGTCGCCAAAGAAAGCCTGAGAAAGTGACTTGCCATTTTGTTTACAGAGAAACAAATGAATATAGTTGAGCATGTTTATAGCGGTTGTGTCGACGTTCATGGCTCCCCTTGTGCCGTAATATTTGAATTTCAGACGACGTCGTTGAAATAATTGTAGAACATTAATGTTCAAAGATTCTAATATATCTCATTTTGACTTTGCGTTCATTTCCATTTTTTTTCTTGGTCAACATACTCCTTTTGATCCTATTTTTAAATCATTGCTAGTATATTTTTACTAAAATTAAGGAAAACATTAAATTTTTTTAATCTGAAAATTTAATAAATTTTTAACTCTTTCTCTAACTTTGAAAATAAAATACTCTTTCATTTAATAATATTTTCCCCATTTAATAGGGGAAAGGTTAACATGGACACAAAAATTATAAAAATACTCTATAAATAAAATTAAAACAAATATTCTCTTTGCCCTATAAATAAAATGATCAAAGGAATATTAAAGATACCATTATGGTCCCTATCCTCTAACCATCTCATAGAATCAATGAATTATGGTTAAATCATTTATTTTAATTGAAAAATGAAAATAGAATAGTTTTTTCATTTTATCCGTAATTAAATAAAAAAAATTTCATTATATTCTTTTTCATATTTAATGACTTTTTTTATAGAATAAAGTTTATATGAGTTGGGTCTCGAGGGCTCAATCAAGGTATGCCTTCAGGCTTTAAATACATTTTACAAAAATACTTACAGATTGACTACCAATAAAATCCTCATATTTATAACAGAATTTGATCCCATAATCTTATAAGTTATGGGTCAAATTTCTATAATTCACCCACCAACAAAGTCCTCATATTTAATAACTTTAAATATGAGTAATATTAAAAAAAAACTTGATCAAGATATAGAACGTCAAGCAACATCATCCATGTATGTCTTTTAGAAAATGTTTTCTAACAAGGAGTGGAATGCTAGTATTTTAATATTTCTTTCTTTCCCACAGGCTTCATCTTTTTCAGCAGAAACTCGCCAGAATTAGTGCAATGAAAAGCGGGAAAGCATCGTCTTTTGCGTGTAAATGTTCTCTACATATATTCAAGTCTCTCAGCCAAATTTGGACTTAAGTTACCGTTTTCACTTTGAATTCTCTTCTTTGTAATAAGATGATGACATTATTTTGATTTTTTTTGGCGACACTAAAGTTGATTTTTCTCTAACAAGACTACCTGGGGGCAATTAAATAGAAGGAGAAATATATGGTTTTTTTATGCTAAAAATTATCGAATTGATTATTTAATTTTATCATCAACCCATCAACAAAAAATCCTAGAGGCAATATGTTCGGTAGATAATGGAATTATAAAATTACAATGCCCATAGGATGGTTTTATCTAACGTGCGTAGATAAACTAACGATTATTTTTTTTTTTCGTTACTTAAAATTACAATCTAATTCAATAAATCAAAACTAATTTTAAGCTGGAAAAGAGATCAGGATTAATTGTAAGTTAACAGATATATATGAGTTAAAAATTATTTTAAATTGGCCCACTGGCTGAAAACAAATCTTGTACTCAAAAAATATAAACCAAATTTTTAAAATTTGAAATAAATATTCTATTATTTGCTTGGTTTGATCCAATATAACATAGGCTATATCTGCAAAAATCCCTAAAAATAAATGGTCAACTAAATAAAATAAATTGAAATAAATAATTAGTAAATGCATTCAATATCATATTTTGGGTTTGTTAAAAAAATATCGTATTTTAGCAATAATGAAGATTGGGGATTGATATTTTAGGAGATAGATTCCACATGATTTAGCAAAATTAATATTATATATAATGAAAATATTTTATGCAGGTATTAAGATCTTGTAAGCTAAAACAGTAAAAGAAAGCACATTTTCCAATTAATCTATTATCTGTAATGAGATAGTTGGAGATTCATATATCAAAAGATTAATTATTTCCCATTAATGCATCCATTGGATGTTATATGCGTGTGTAGATCAACCAAGGACTATTTATTTTATTACTCAAAATTAAAATTACCATCTAATTCAGTCAGTCAGGACTAATTGGGGGTTAATTAATAAGATATGAAATTAAAAATTAATGGTCACTTCAATAAGATCATATATTTATAAAATATTTGATAACCTTGGATATAAAAAAAAATTGCAACATTGACTATGGCTTTAACTGATTCCAAATGAAGACGCCCTTATTTTTTCCCCCCAATCCGAACGCTCAGTATTCAATATTCATGGAAGCTTTATATGTTTTCGACTTCTGTCAACTAATGATTCAGACTCTCGCCTCACTCACATATAGCGGAATCATATACTACTATATTTTAAATGAAAATTTTAATAAAGGTTTAACAATTATACCCCATCAAACAAATAAAATTTGTGTATGAGTGTGTATAAACATATTATAATTCCTTCCAAATTTTATATACAACATAAATCTAAAAAAACAATTGAAAAGATATAATTTTTAATACCTAAACTTTATCTCAATTGTCAATTTATTTATTAAATTTGATGGTCAAAAGATTAACTATAAGGACTCGAATTGTCTCGACTCAAGAAACTAGATGGAACGACTTGTTTTGATGAGATTTAGACTCAATAACTGTACTTGATATAGGCAATAAGTGCCTATATGATCTAAACTTTTAAAATTCAGATAAATGTTTATAAACTTATACTTTACTTAATATTAATGAATAAGTTAGTTTATTTAATTTGGATTTTAACAGTTTAGATAATATAATTACTGAGTGCCTATATGAAGTACAGTTGATGCAAAGTTAAGAGACTACAAGTTGAGTTAAGGTAAAATAATCAACGGAAAAACAACTTATAAACACAATAATAAGTATAAAAGTTTGAGTACTTCAATAAAAATCCCACCGATACTTTGCACGAAATCGTTGTTCTTCTTGAGGAGTGAGATCGTTCTTAATATTGAAAATCCGTCGAATCTTCTTAGGGTTTTTTCCCTTTATCAAATCCGCCACAGTTTGACAGGCAAGATCAAACAAGCCTAATATTTCCATATAGTCCGCTGCCGTCAAAATATGATATAGCATATCTGTGTCCACTTTCATGAACTCAGCATCCCATGCCTTCAGTTCCTCCACGTCGGCGATGGGGACTCTGGCACCGGCCATGGCGGCTTCGTGATCGGCATGCTTCTGGCAGTACTCCATGACTTTCACCAACGTTGTGGTGTTCACATTGGATAGTGGGACTCTATCAACAACGCAATTATCGTCGTCCAGCATGCGCTTCAGTAGCTCCGATTGCTTTGCCGCTCCGACAGTCATCTCGAACTCGGTGCTGTCTCCGCTCACCACTGTTATATTCTCCACAGATGACATCTTTGTTGTTGAAGGGCTTCCAAAGGTTTCGAGAAATTTGACCTCCTGGCGTTAAATGTAGCTTCTCCAACAGTCGTGAGGGATATTTATTTATACGTTACACGTATACGACTTTCACTAATATGACTTTATTTATAAAGAGAGTTTGAAGAATTTAAATTTGAGATAAGATAATTGATTAAAATAAATCTTTGAGATAGGATAAGCTTTGAAGGATGAAGATAAATTACAAATATTTAAATTTAAAATACAAATTTTCTATTATTGCAGTTATATATGTTCTTTGGAGTCGGTTTCTAGCATTTTATGCTTCGTAAATCAAGTACTAATAATTGGGTTTGCATGTGAAATTAATATTTTTTTTCGGTGCCTATCATAGAATTATAATAATATTTAATCAATATAACCTTTATTTAGATTAAAATAAGGTAGATACTGTTTTATAATACACCGGGAGGATACATAATAATTCAAGCGATTCTATGCTTCGAATATCTTTTATATGGATTAAAATTAGTTAGATAATATTTTAAAAGTTAAAACATTGAGTATCATTTATATTAATTCATTTAAATTTAAATTTGAGATTTAAAATCTTACATTTAAAATATTTTGTTTGAATATGGTAAAAAAATTTAAAGAAAAAACAAAGGTGGGCTGAGTTTCAAAACAAAAATGGAAGATTGAAATTGATGAAGTTATCTCTATTATTCAATCTATAAGAGACGAGAACAAGAAGTGAGAGAAGGAACAAGAGTTACAAAGCCAAAAATAGATAAAATGCAAAGAAATTAATTAGGGTATAGAGGAAATTTAAAATTAAAAAATATTTATTATAAAATATGGATTTGCAAAACTCAACCTAAATAAATAGATTTTTTAAAAAAAAAAGAATAACTAAATAATATTAAAATAGAGTAGCTGATATTTAAAAAAATTAAATATATAGAATTTTATTTTAAAGGTCCCGTGTATCACAGAATCTAATTATTTTTTAATTTCTCTCCCACGTATTTTTTTAGCCTAAATCTCCCAAGTTGAGTTTATTCCTTTTTAAACTTTCACAGTTCTCAAGTTTAAATTTTGAAATATGTTGTCGCGTTAAATAAAAATATTAAAAACATTCCAAAAACCCGTCAAACTCATATTAACATTTTTACATATAGTAGGAGGTTGGACTAGTTTGTGTGAGTGGTAATAATATTTAGGTTTTGTAGGATACCGTTAATGAAATAAAAATAAATAAATATAACCACTTAAATTATATAAGATAATTCTGAAACTCACCATCTTCATCTTTATTCACTTATAACTTGAAAGCAAGGTTGTTAAATTTGTGACAAGATATAAACTCGAAACATGAACTTGGATCAACGAGTTTATTTTTATTAATAAATAGTCTTTAAAAATACATAATTAAATAATTAAAATATAAAATATGATCATAATTTAATTTATATATATTTTAACTATAAATAATTAAAATTAAGTCTATCTATATTTATAGATTATCATACTCAATATATAAATTTGAAAATATGACAACTTATTTTTGATATTTTTTGTTTTCTTTTTTTATTAATATTAATTTTTGGTTTTCTTAGTTTTATTCTTCATTGAACCAAATCCCACCGCTTTTATAAATTAAGTTTCATATAATATATACCTATCTTGCTTAATGAGTTTATAGGTAAATTGATATGATTTTATAAGTTAGAAAATTAAAAATGGTATACTCGAAGAGTCAACTTTTGAGTTTAAGAGAGTTTTATATAACCTAAGTCTATGAGTGAATTAATACAATTTTATAAATTAGAGATGTAAAAATAATAGACTCATAGAGTCAATTCAAAAGTTTGACAACCATGTTTGAAAGAGTTTAACTATGATTTTCTTGTGGCGTTTAGATTAGAAGAAATTAAAAGATTTCAGATATAAAAATTATACTCTGAGATACTCTATATATATGTATGTATATAAAATATATATTCTTAAAAAATTTCACACAAAATAAATGCATACAAAGTTATTGACTTATTATTAAAAATTCTTAACTGAAAAAAATTGAAACTATGAACCCCTAAAAAATAAAAGAAACGAGACACAAAATAGCTGAAAGAAAATTGACTTTAATCAAAGGCCCATTGACAGTCCCTACGATTCTGCTCCTCTTCTTCAGGAGTAAAATCATTCTTTATGTTAAAAGTCCGGCGAATCTCCTCCGGCGATTTCCCTTTGATCATATCAGCCACAGCCTGACAAGACGAATCTAACAAGCCTGCGATTTCCATGTAGTTCGCCGCTAATATAATATCAAACAGCAATTGATTTTCCACTTTCAAAAACTCAGCATCCCACTGCTTCAGTTCCTCCATGGCGACACCATTTGCGGCTCCGGCCCCGATTACGGCGATGTCGGTCTCGGTCTTGGCAGCCTCATCATGATCGGCATGTTTCTGGCAGTATTCCATGACTTTTGCCAACGTCACAGAATTCACATTGTATAGTGGGATCTTGTCGGAGACGCCAAGATCGTCCAACATGTTCTTTATTAGCGTTGATTGTGTTGCGGCCTTAATGGCCACCTCAAACTCATGGCCGTCGCTGCTTACCAATGTAACAGTGATCTTGGCCGACGATGTCATCTTCCAAAGGTTTGGAAAAAGTTGCCTCAAGAGGGACGGATATTTCTACTCAGACGACTAGAGCTACTTTCACAAATATTGCTTCCTCTATTTATAACGATAGTGTGAAGAATTTAACTTTGAGATAAGATAATTGATAAAAAATACGAGATAAGATTAACTGTCAAGGATAAAAATAAATTACAAATATTCATATTTAAAATGCAAGACCTTCTAGATATTTTAATTGTTTTAAATATTCCAATTCCAATTTTATCAAAATCTTTGTATTTTTTGGCTAATCATCTTGTATGTACAACTGATGAATATTAATTATTAAATTATTATTTATTTACAGAAAATCAAAAATTTAATTGAAAAGGATAATGACTATGATTTTTTTCGATAATCCAAATGTATTAATATGAAGTATTTAGATATATAACTTATCGAAAGTAATATTAAAACAATGCAATAGTTAACTCTAACGGAAAATGAAACGATATATTATATCATATTCATAATTTAATTAAAAATTATTTACAGCGAAATTTTTACATTAAACTTAAGGTTTTATTTTTGAAATTGTTCAAGTGGCGTTCATATCCATATCCATATTATTATTATTATCATTATTATTCCGTTAAGTTGTAGATGAAACGCTAAGATTTCTCATACTTTTCGTAAGACAATAAAATTTTATGAATATCAAATTTTAGTTATTCATAAATAAAAAACTGATGAATTACCAATAGTAATTTCAAGTAGACAAAATTAAATATATTACAAACTGTGAGCTTGATATCAGTGATGGATATATGCTTGCCCTTCCTCCCATAAAAGCTTTCTTTTTTTTTTTAATAAAAATGTGTTTATTTTTATCTGTAAAAAAATGTGGAAATCAATTTTAACACTCCCCCTAGTGAAAAATTTTGATTTTCCCTGCTTGATATCACAATTACATATATTAAAAATATAAGTTCAAATTAAAGTCATTTATAAAGTATTCAGTTACAATGACTATAAAAAAATTGATAGTGCGCGCGCATGTTTCATTAAGTCCTTACAAATACCGATTTCCTGTTAGATCAAAAAATAAAAATATTCAAGTTATATATATATATATATATATTTACATGCAAATTATTATTTATTTCATTTTCTTAAATTTATTTTTCTATATTAATAATTTAAATAATTTCCCAATCCGCATATCTTTAATCACAACTAAGACGCAAATAATATAGTTAATTAAAAAAATAGTTAAGAATATAACAAATTTATAACCACAATTTAAAAAATTATATAAATAAGTAATTGCACAAAAAAATCAAATAAGAAATAAATTATTTAATTAAAAATAAAGAGAAAATACTTTTTGGGCAGATAATTTAAAATAAACGGCCTTGCTATCTCTTTTTTCTATAAAAAAAGGTCTCACTATATCTCTCAAATCTTTATTTTTCCCATTCTTCTAGTCTCATCTATTATACTACCCTCATCCCAAATTATAGGGTACTTTTGAAGGAATTTTTTTTTCAAAATATAAGACACTTTGGATAAATTAAGGTTTCATTAAATGCACAAATTTTACCTTTCTCTCTCTATAATTAATTTCTATCTCTTCTCTTTTTAATATATTAAATGATGGATATTTTTAAAATTTTATATTTTTATTTTAAAAATATAAGGTTGTTAAGTGTATTTAATGAGATTTATTGGTATGTGAGATTTTATTTAAAAATATCTTATAATTTAGGATGAAGGAAGTATAATATTAATATTATTATTATTAGTATATAAAAGGAGGATTGTTGCAAGGGCAAGGTATATACTTAACCTTATATATTAAATATACTTTATTCAATTAAATAAAGACATGTAAATTTTAATATGTTAATAATGTTAATAAAAAATTTATTATAGATTAAATAATTCATAAAAGATACACATGTCTTAATTTAACTAAAAATAATTATCTTAAATATATAATGGTAAGTATATAAACTTCTACTCCTTCCATTTAAAAATATAAATCATTTTTAGTATTTTAAGGTGTAATCATTGTCTTTCAAAAAAAAATACCCCTATTAAATAAATTACTTTTATGTTTATTTCAGGGTGAAATACCCTATTAAACAATGATAAATATGAAAAAATGATAAATTATATTTTTTTAAAATAGTTTATATTTTTTAACAAAGAGAGTACTTGTTTTGCAATTATGTATTTTACTCAGTTTGTGGCATTTTATGCTCTTCACGTCAAGTATTAATTTGGTTTGCATGTGAAATTATATATTATTTTTTAATGCCTATCATAGAATTATAATAATATTTAATAAATATAACCTTTATTTATATTAAAATTAAAGAAGGTAGATAATGTTTTATAACATTAGGACAATATATAATAATTTAAAGATGTGTTTGGTTGGAAGTTTTTTGAGGGGAGGGAATGGGAGGGGAGTTGCTCCCCTTCTTTTGTTTGGTTAGTGATTAATAAAGGGAGGAGAGAAGAACCCGTTGTTTCGTTAAATAAATTTTATCACCTTACAAAAATTAATACATAATTTTTCAATGTATAAAATTTTAATATTTTTCATTAAACTCACTAATAAAATATAATTTGTTCTTCAAATTTTTTTTATTAATATAAGTTCATATTCTTAAAATAAAAACTTAATAAATTCTAATATAACAGTTCTTTTTTCAAAGCAAAAAATAAAAATCAAGTTAAATTTGATAAAAATAAAATTATTAACTTATATTTGATTCCCCTCCCCTCCCCTCCTAAACTAAACAAAGGTTTATTAAAATACATCTCCTCTCCTCCCCTTCATTAAAATCTCTTTGCTCCCTTCCTCTCCTCTCGAACCAAATACACCCTAAGTGATGCTTTAAAAATCTTTTATATGGATTAAAATTATTAGGGATTCTAATTTTTTGAAGTTGAAATTGATGAATTTGGGTAAAGTTTTATTTGCTTCGTATTTTTATTTAATTTTATAATTTTTTCAAAAAATAAAAATCTTCTCTCATTTTCTTAAAAAAAGAAAACTTCAAACAAATTTATCAATATCAAATTTAGAGGGTTTAAACCCTAAAATTAGTTAGATAATATTTGAAAATTTTAAATGAATAGATTTTTAGTTAGCTTTTATCATCATTTTCTTGATAACTTATAGGAAAAATGATAATAAAATCCTTTCAAATAATATACTCCCTCCGTTTAAAAATATAAGACATTTTTTGAAAAGTTTGATGTTTAAAAATGTAAAGCATTTTTAGTCTTTTGAGGTGCAATCATTGCCTTTTTTCTAAAAATGCACCCATTGATAATGAATTTATATTTATTGTAGAGTGTTTAATAGGGATAAATATAAAAAGATAGAGTTAGTTTAAAAGTAGGTAACTACTTTATTGGGGGTAAGATTCAGTTAAAAATGCCTTATATTTTTGAACGGAGGGAGTAAATGATAATTTGATCTCTTTGAAATGTTATGATACCAATAACTTCCCTAAGGACTTCTTTATCAATAGCTTTTTTAGAAAAAAAGATTATTTTATCCTTTTAAGACCCAATCGCAACTTTTGTTTAAGGAATCACAATTTTTATTCTATAAATTGCAAGAGTTAAACAATAAATTATAACTTATTAAGTATAATTTTTGTTAATGAAAAATAAATTTCAATCATAACTTTTGTTTAAAGAATAATAACTTTTATTCTGTGAATTACAACAGTTTAATAAAAAATTAAAATTTGTCAAGTGTAATTTTTATTATTAAAAAGCAAGTTATCAAAATAAAAAACTTAATTCACAACTTTTATTTAAAGAATTATAATTTTTCTTCAAAGAATTGCAAAAATTAAATAAGAAATTAAAATTTATTAATAAGGATAAAATGATCTTTTTTTTCTAAAAAAGTTATTGACAAAGACATCCCTTAGAACTTTGTATTATAAAATTTTTGGAGATGAAATTGTTATTTACATAATTCAGATGAATTTTATTATCATTTTTCCTAATTTATATCATATTTATACTTTTTAAATCAAATAAAAAATTATATTAAAATGAAGTAACTATTTTAAGAATTTAAATAAGTTGAATTTCAGTTTTAAACGTCCGGTGCATCTCAAAATTTAGTTGTTTTAAATTTAACTCTCTCCCAGGTTACACTTATTCCTCTTTGAGCTCTCGCAGTTCTAGGGCTTGTTTGGTTATTGTTTTCAATTTGTTTTCAAAAGTTGCTTTATAAAACAATTTTTTAAAAGTTGTTTTATAAAACAATTTTAAAAAATTTTTTTGAGAACAAATAAAAAAAACCTTGTTTAGTAATAGTAATCCAATTTTTTTTATAAATTTATGAGATAAGCGATTCTTTTTTATTGGGACAAAAATACAACAGTTGTCGTTAATGAGAACAATTCTCATTTCTTGTTTCCCGTCTTTTCTCTATAAAACTAAAAAAATGGAAATATAAACAGCTAAAAATTGTTTTGGTTTTCTTGTGTTTAAAAACAAAAAATTAATTTTTTAAAAAAATTAAAAAATTATTAACCACACAAGTTTTTTTGGTTTTAAAAATATTAAAATAAAAAAACAGTTTTTGAGAATAGTAGACAAACAGGCTCCTATTCTCTTATGAACTTTGTTTTTTTTTTTTAATACATCATAATATCAATGAAATTAAAAATAATTTAACTGGTTGAAGGAGCTTAATCAACTTATCATGTGGTCTCAATCGAGTCACGTAATCTACCGTTATGTTAAATAAAGATACTAAACATAACTGGTGTGATGCTAACCATTGACATACATTACATAAGATAATTATGAAACTTACCCTCTTCATCTTTATTCCGTCCTTACTTTTAACTTGAAAGAGATTAATGTAACTACAATTTTTTCTTGAGATTTTGATTTACTGGAAAAATTGAAACCATAAACCAATAAATAAATAAATAAATAAAAAGAAACGAAAAACAACATAGAAGAAAATTGACTTCATCAATCAAAGGCCCATTGATACTCCCTACGATTCTGCTCCTCTTCTTCAGGACTAAAATCATTCTTTATGTTCAAAATCCGTCGAATCTGTTCCGGCGATTTCCCTTTGATCATATTAGCCACAGCCTGACAAGATGAATCTAACAAGCCTGCAATTTCCATATAGTTCGCCGCCAATATAATATCTAACAGGAAATCACTGTCCACTTTCAAAAAATCAGCATCCCACTGTTTCAGTCCCTCCACGGCTTCGCCATCGACGACATCGTCCGTCTCGGTCTTGGTGGCCTTGTCATGATCGGCATGTTTCTGGCAGTATTCCATGACTTTTGCCAACGTCGCAGAATTCACGTTGCATATTGGGATCTTGTCGGAGACGCCAAATTCGTCCAATATGTTCTTTATTAGCGTCGACTGTGTTGCGGCATTAATGGCCACCTCCAACTCGTCGCCGTCGCTGCTTGTCAATGTAACAGTCTTCGCCGACGATGTCATCTTCTTTGAAGGTCGTCGCAGAGTTAGATGAAAGTTTTCCTTCACTGTATGTTCCCTCTTCTTTATTTATATTTATAATTATAATATCTTCGAAGAATTTAACTTTGAGGTGAACTTTCAAGTTTCAAGGTTAAGGATGATTTACAAATATTTAAATTTAAAACAACAAACTCTTGTCAATATAAAATAAATCTTAATTAGGAATTTTTTTTAATTTTATTTTCATTAATTAGGATTCAAAAGCGAGTAATACTTAGGTAGACCAAATACATCACGCCATTTATGATTTATCTAATAAAAACATGACATTTAGATAATATTAAATATAAATTAATTTTAATATTAATGATAATAGAGAGAAAATGCAAAAAAATCCAATGTGCATTCTTTTATAAGAATAAAATCAATTAAAAAATATTATATAATATTTTATTTTAATTGAACAGATTATAAATGACATGATACACCTAATTTACTTAAGTATTTCTCTTCAAAAGTTTATCATAGAATATCTTATTATAAAGGATATTCATATAAGAAATCAATATGTGCCTATATGTTCTGGACAAATCATAAATGATCTAACGCACTCGATTTACTTAAATATTTATTTTTAAAAGTTTATCATAGAATATCTTATTATAAAGGATATTCGTATAAGAAATCAATATGTGCCTATATATGTTCGGTTCATTAATTTAATGCCCTGGTAATAAATTAAAAACTTACAAAATATGATATCTTTTGTGTATATAAATGCAATCATTATACTCGTGCGATATGATATGATAATAACTTTTATTCAGTTACATGATAATAAACTTTTTTTTATAAGATTAACGTAGCGTATTCAAATTAATTTTTCAAATTTAAAGGAACTGGAATTTAAATTAGAGCATATACTATTGGGAAAACTTATATACATAACCTTACATACTAAAGCCTGCTATTGAGTTTTTAGAAATTAATTATTTTTTTAATAGAAACAGGAAATTAATTAATTAATTTCAAGGACCGCCAATTGCTAAAAGAAAAATTAATTTGTTGGTACTTCTAGTTTTTTTAATTTTAAATAAGATCCTTGTTCTAAAAAAAATGAAATCCTTGTAAGTTATTTTATTTTAATCAAATTCTTGGAGCTTGATTTATTAAATATGTTAATTAATCCTTAAATTTAAAATTATTAATGGATGATTAAATTTCTTGGAAAAAGATACGTACTTTAGTCATTATATGTAGTGTACCACAATATTTGTCATTGTTAGTTAATTCGTAGTTTACAAAAAATATTAGTTGAAAATCTTTTCACTTATGCTTTTAAGATTTTCTAGTAACACGTATATAATCTTTACATATAAAAAATTTAAAGATAAGGAATTTAAAAAAGCAAGGGCATAAATGGAGAAAAAATATAAAATTTACCCAATGTCTTATATTTTAGATATTTTTAATTATTTCACATATATTAAAAAATAATTTTTTCTCTTGATATCATAAAAAGGTAAGATGTACTTTCATTTTTATCTTTAACTTTAAATAATAATACAACCACATTAAATACTTTCACGCTAATAAAAAAAGGACAAAATTAAAAAAATAGTTTAATTATTATAAGGTGTTCTATATTTTGAATTAATAATTATTTTTAAAAAGTATCTTATAAATAAAACTAAAGATATTATATTATAGTGTGCAAGGAATATATAGGAAGAGAGTACTTAAATCTTAATAGATGAGGCTATCATTCGAACTCTGAACCTAAGAAAACAATTTATATGTCTCAATATGAATAATAAGGAACTACATGAATTAACCCAACAACAAAAGGGCAACATACTCATCAAATAATAAAAAAATCTCATATCAATGAGCAGAAATTGCTAAGATTACATATATCGTATGCATGCAACCGGAGTGGGCATATACATGTTTGATCGAGGCAAACTATAAATTAATTGCGTGACAACAAGGCGTCTTTATCATAGTCATCATCATTAACGATATCATTAGTTACATTTATATTTGAGAGTTTTGGAATTTACATAAAAGATTATTTAAATAATATTTTACTCTCTCCAGTTTAAAATATAAGCAGTCTTGAAAAAAAAAATTTACTCTCTATTCTCACAAAAATATATATTATTTTTTCTGTTTGCTTTTAATTTCAATTATCAATACTCTATATAATGAGTAAGAGATATATTTAAACAAACATTTAATTTAATAAATATAAAGGGCAAAAAAAAAAAATTTATATGTACTAAGTTATTTATATTTTAAATTAAAATTAATTAAAAAAATTTATATTTTAAACCAAGTACATGTGATCATATTGGTTTATGACAAAGCGGCAGTGGCAAAAGAGAAGTACACGTGGCAAGCAATAAGTTGGGAGTAATTTTCAAGAGAGCAGGTTGAACCGAGGAGACACCAACACTGACCATATCAGCTCACAGTCTCACATCACTTAAGAGAATGTCTCTCCAGCTGACAAATTATAAACAATATTTCTTTCATCTTAAATTATAAAATATTTTTAAATAAAATTTTATATAATAATAAATTTTATTAAATATATTTAATAATTTTATTTTTTTAAATAAAAATATAAATTTTTAAAAATACTTATAATTTAATGCATTAAAAAAATAAAAATTAATTATATAAAGAAAGAATAATATTAAAATTAATATATTTAATAAAATCTTAATATATTTAAAATATTTTATATCTTAAAATGAAAAAACTATTTTAAAGATATCATTATAATTTGTAATGGAGGGAAGTAGCGAGTATATTTTAAGTATAATTATTATTGAAATATTATAAAGCATATACTTTGTCTACCCTCTTAAATCTTAATCATAGGCGCTATGATTATTGCTACACTTTATGCTGGATATGTAATTGATCACTTAATCATTTTTATTATCAGACACCAATGTAGTGTGGGACTGTATATCAATTTAGATTTTTTGTTCACTTATTGTTTTCCAATTTTTCTCATATATGTTTGTCTCATGCTACTCACTTCACCTGATGAAATTAATTAATCACTTTAGTATAGATCTAATTATTGAATAATAATAAATCAATAATGTTTGAAACATTTCTTTTCATTATGAGAGTTGTTATTAAAAACAAATAAAAAATTTTCTGATTAAAGTTAAAATTTTAATTTAAAAAAAGTTTTCATATAGACATTATTTCTTCCTTTTTATTTTCTGTATATTGCTTCTGCTATTTTCTTCTCCCAATTGCCAAGTTTTCATTGAAAACTCATGCTTATTTTGAGAGTTTGGCCAATAAGAAAAGGGAATTATTAGAATATAAGGTGTTTAAATAGTTGTTCAAAATCTTCTGAATCTTTATCATGCCCTTTGGTAATTTGAAGCTCTTTCAAATTATTTAAAAATTTTACATTCAACTTTTTAAATATTTGATAAAACATTTTAAAATGTTGACATATTAAATTTATTTTTAAAATAAAAATGGTCAATTAGTGGAAAAAAATTAGTATTTGAAACTTACAGTGTTAGGGTTAAAAAATTAACAAGATACTTTATAAAATTAAGAGGTAAAATTAAAATTTTATATGAAGTTAGAAAACTAAAAATATACTTTAACCTATTTTAAAAAATTAAATAAATATAATTTTAGTTTTAAGAATCCCGTCTAGTTATTTTTAATTTCTATCCCTTATTAGGTTTATTCCCTTCCTCTTTGAGCTTTTGCAGTTCCGTTCTCTAGCGTTTCGTTTTTCTTAATATACCATAATATCAATGAAACTAAAAAATGGTTCAAGGAGTTGAACTAGCTTATTATAAGGGTTTCAAATTTCAATTTTAGAATATACAATTATGTTAATTAAAAATATCAAAAATATCCTGAGATCCCCGTGAAGCTAGTAAAATCAGTTCAAGCGATTGGTAGTAATAATACTCCAGATTTTGTAGTATACCATCTGTGATAAAATAAAAAAATAAATACAACCAATTACATTATATAAGAAAATTCTGAAACTCACCTCTTCATTTTTGTTCCGTCCTTATTTATAACATGAAAGAGTTTAACTACGATTATCTCTTGACATTTAGATTAACTAGACAGTTTCTGATATATATTGCACGAGTTGAAATTAAAAAATTTAAAACAAATATCATCGATATTATTGATATCGACACATTTAAGATGACTAAATTTTTAAGAGTTCCTCTATTAAATTATTTTTTTTGAATATTTTATTTGTACACATCTTATCTTTATTTCTCAAATCTATAGTGAAAAATTTATCTAGAAAATACCTGTTTTTAGAGTGCTTAGAGAATATTGACAAAAAAAACTTCTTTATAATTCTCAATAACCCCTCATTTTTTATTACGTAAAAAAATTAGACACTAATTTTATGAATTATGACATAAATTATATTTTTATAAATATGGATATAAGAAAGAATGCAAAGGGATCCCTCTTTTTTTTTTTAAATTGTATCCTATTATTTTGTATTTTTTGGTTCCTTTTCTTCTTCTTCTTTTTAACGTGCAAAATAAAAGGGCTACAAAAAAGATATATTTACTACTCAAGTTTTACTTGTTCAGAATACTTAAGTAGTCACTACATTATCTTGTCAGTGTGGAATGTGTGGTGAGACATTCACAGTTTGAAGGGCCGAAACCACGAAATAAGGAGTAATGATCCAAATTAAACTTATATTTCTTTTTATTTTCTTTTTTTCTTTTTACAGATTATGTTTATGGATGATAGTTGATGAGAGTTCATTGATATTAAGTATAGCGAATCAAGAAAATATATAAAAAATAGGCAAAAAATAAATCTCATTGATCAAGAAAATTGAAAAGGCATGAGAAACTACAGCGAGTATAGAAAGATAGTTGAATAGAGTTAATGTTAAAGATCAGAAAAATTTAAAATAGAATTGCTCTTGAATCAATGCTCCCATGAAAGTAGACTGAAAATACATGAAAAATAAAAAATAAATAAAATCTCATTGATCAAGAAAATTAAAAAGGCATGAAAAATATAGCAAATGGAGAAGGATAATCAGATGGAATTAATGCGAACAATCAAGAAAATTAAAAAATGAGACTGCTTTTGAATTAAATGCTCTTGTAAAAGTAAACTAAAAATACATAAAAAATAAGAAAATAAATGAAATCTCATTAATGAATTAAGAGAAATTTTTATATTAACATTAATCTAAAATTTATTAACCAATGAGAGTCAATTTTTCTTTTTCTTTTTTTTTTTAAAATGGGATTGCTCTTGAATCAATGCTTTCATGAAACTAAACTGAAAATACATAAAAAAAATAGAAAAAAAATTAAATCTCATTAAATACTTCTGTGAAAGTACACTGAAAATACATAAAAAATAGAAAAGTAAAATAAATCTTATTAATGAATTGAGAAAAATTTTTATATTAATATTAGCCTAAAATCTATTAACCAATGAGAGTTAAAAACTGTTTTTTTTTTACCAATTAAATTGGAGCTACAAGATTTATATATTGATATATTGATGATGATGATAATATTGATATTGATGATAGAATAAGATGCCTTGAATAGAAGAGCCAAAACACATGGGAAAATGCAACAAACATGGGTCATGAATAGAGAAAAATGGAGGGTCAGTTAATGCTCCCATCCAAGTTGAATTAGAATTCAAAATTTGAAATTGAAAATAGGTGGGGCCCCCATGAAAAATTGATTGAATCAATAGGAGATGATTAAATTTTAACCAAGATAAAATGATCAATGATAAAGCTCAAAATAAGACCAATGGGATGCTTTCTACAAGATTTGTTAAAATTGTTAATATATATTGATAGAAGAAACGAAAAGACTTCAAATATAAAAAGTATACTTCAATATATATATATATATATATATAATAACAATAATATATTCCTAAAAATTTCCACAAAAAATAAATACATAAAGTTATTAACTTATTATTATTAAAAATTCTAAACTGGAAAAAATGGAAACCATAAACCCCACAAAGGAAACGAAACACAAAATAGAAGAAAATCGACTTCAATCAATCCATTGATACTCCCTGCGATTCTGCTCCTCTTCTTCAGGAGTAAAATCATTCTTTATGTTAAAAGTCCGGCGAATCTGTTCCGGCGATTTCCCTTTGATCATATCAGCCGCTGCCTGGCAAGATGAATCTAGCAAGCCTGCAATTTCCATGTAGTTCGCCGCTAATATAATATCCAACAGAAATTCCTTGTCCACTTTTAAAAACTCAGCATCCCACTGCTTCAGTTCCTCCACGCCGGCATCTTCCACGGCTTGGCCATCGACGATAACATCCGTCTCGGTCTCGGTCTTGGTAGGCTCATCATGATCGGCATGTTTCTGGCAGTATTCCATGACTTTTGCCAACGTCGCAGAATTCACATTGTACAGTGGGATCTTGTCGGAGACGCCAAATTCGTCCAACGTGTTCTTTATTAGCGTTGATAGTGTTGCGGCGTTAATGGCCACCTCAAACTCATCGCCGTCGCTGCTTATCAATGTAACAGTCTTTGCCGACGATGTCATCTTCTTTGAAGGTCGTCGTAGGGTTAGATGAAAGAATTTTACTTTACCATTTATTCCCTCTCCTTTGTTTATATTTATATTTTATAATAATTTGAAAGAGTTTAACTCTGAGGTAAACTTTCAAGTATAAGGATAATTTACAAATACCTAAATTTAAGATAACAAACTTTTGAATAAATTGGGCTTAGGCCCCGTATTATACCCAAAAAAAAAAAACTTGTCAACATAAAATAAATCTTAATTAACAGTTACTTTTTTTAATTTTAGTTTCATTAACTAGGATTCAAAAGTTTGTCATAGAAAATATTAGACTAAAATACATAAAACCTTCCTGAACTTTAAAATAGTTGCATATAATCATCCTCATTTTTAAAAGTTAAAATTAACCCTTCTAATCTTTAATTTTATTTTTCAAAACCCTTTATTGTTAATTATGTTATTTTTTCATCAATATTAAAATGTCATTTGACTAAAAAATATTATTAAACAAAAATATTATATTATATAACTATTTATAATAAATTTCTTATATTTTTTGGATAGTTAAGGTATTAATAATAGCCAAAATAAATGTTATTATCATAATATAAAATTTTAAATATTTACTTTTTTGTTATTTTTTTCATTTTTTTGTTATCAATTGTGCATAGTTTTCTTGTATTAAAAGATAAATTAATCTACTATAGTAATATTTAAAATTTTAAATATTTTAGCTATGTGCATTACATTAATCTAACATGAAAATATAAATAAAAATTTATCTTTTAAAACAATAAAATCATGCACAATTGATAACACAAAAATATGGATAAAACTAATATAAACATAAAAATTTAAAATTTTATACTGTGATAATAACAAACTTTTTTGTTATCAATGGCTTAATTATCCAAAAGATATAAAAAATTTATTATAAATAGTTATAAAATATAATATTTTTGTTTAATAATATTTTTTAGTTAAATAACATTTTAACCCTCATAAAAAATAACATAATTAATATTAGGGGATTTGAAAAATAAAATTAAAAGTTAAGGGGATTAATTTTAAACTTTTAAAAGTGAGAGGAGTTATATGCAACTGTCTTAAAATTCGTAAGAGTTTTATACAATGTAGCCAATATTTTATTATAAAGGATATTCATATAAGAAATCAATACATGGTTTTGTTCATTTAATGCCTATATAATATATTAAAAAATAAAAAAATATGATACTAAATCTAATAATTATACTAATACGATATGATATGATCATAACTTTTATTCTGCTACATGATGATAAACTTTGTTTTTTATTAAGATTAACGTAAAGTATTTCATATTAATCTTTTAAATTGAAAGGAAATAGAATTTGAAATTTAAATTATTCCGATATATAAATTAGAGCATATACTACTATATCATTATTAATTACTGCTACTTAGATTTTGGAAATTAATTATATTTTGAATAGAAATAGGAAAATAATTAAATACTTTTCGGAACCACCAATTACTAAAAGAAAAAAATTAATTTGTAGGTCCTTATATTTTTTTTCTCAATTTTAAATTTGATTCTTGTAAGTTATTTTATTTTAATCAAACTTTTATTGTTTGATCTATTAAATATGTTAATTCTTTATTATATCATCATCAGTAACTCATTAGTTACGTCTCATTTACATTTGAGAATTTTGGAATGTAGTACATAAAAGATAGGAAAAACATAACTTTATATTCCAATTTTTTCTTTACATTTTGTTATTTATTTTTATACTTTTTTCAGTATTTTTGGTTCTTATACTTTTATTTTTCATTGTTTTAGGTCCCTCCATAAAAAAAATATAGAGAACTTGGAGGAACCTAAAACAATTAAAAAAATATATAGGGGTTAAAAACGCTAAAAAAAAGTAGAGACCAATAACAAAATGTGAGTAAAATATAATGACCTAAAATTATGTTTTTCTAAAAAATAAGTTAAATGATACTCCCTCCGTCCTTATATATAAAGCATTTTTTATAAGCTTATTTCGTCCCTAAATATAAGGGGTGGCTGTTATATTTTTTAAGTAATTAGAAAATTTTACACTTGCCTTGACAAATAAAATAGATCATTAATTGTATGTTTTTCCTACCACCATTATGATATTAATTATGATATTAGTAGAGGTAAAATTAAAAAATTATTATATTTTTATGTAAGTTTAACTAAATAATAAATTTTTATTTATATGCAAAATTTAATTAAAAATACTTTATATATAAATATAAAGACGGATGGAGTATTATATAGGTGTATTATATGTGATGTTGGTCCATGACAAATAAATCAATGGTGGCAAAAGAGAAGAAGACACACGTGCTAATTTTCAAGGAAAACGCTTTGGTTGAGTCAAGGAGACACCAACTCTGACCATATCAGCTCACTACTCTTAAAAGGATGTCTCTCTATGTAACAGACTATACTCTAAATTATAAAACACATTTAAATAAAATCTCATATATTTATTTTTTTTAAAATAAAAATATAAATTTTAAAAAATACTCATAATTTAATATATATTAAAAAGAGAAGGGATAAAAATTAATTACAGAGAGAGAAAGGATAATATTAAAATTAATGTATTTAATAAAATCTTAATTTATTCAAAGTATTTTATATTTTAAAATGAAAAAACTCCTTCAAAAGTACCCTATAATTTAGGATGGAGGGATTAATAGCTTTTAAGTATAATTATTATTGAAATATTATATACAAAGCATGCTTAAATTAAAGTGACATCCATGCCACTTTTGACCCTCTTAATCATAGGTTCTATAATTGCTAAACTTTTCTGTATCCCGGATTATGTAATTTATCGTTTAACCATTTCCATTGTTACACACAAATGCAGTGGGACTTAATAAATTTAGATTTCTTGTTCACTTCTTGTGTGTGTTTTTTTTTTTAATTTTCTTATGTTCGTCTCTATTCATTCACCTGAATCTAACTATTGAATATGAGAATTATTATTAGACCAAAATAAAATAATGTTTGAAGGATTTTTTTTTCATTATGGGAGTTTTTACTAAAAAAATAATAACGAAAAAATTTCTGATTAAATTAAAATTTTTAATTTTTTTAAGTTTTCATATAGTTTCCTTTTTTAATTTTCTGTGTATTGCGCTTCTGACGTTCTTTTCTCCTCCCAATTGCCAAGCTTTCATTTAAAACTCATGCTTATTTAGTTATTCTGAGAGTTTGCTCAATAAGAAAAGGGAATTGGAATATAAGGTTTTAAAATAGCTGTTCAGAATCTTCTTATCAATCTTCATCCCCTTAGATTATTTGGAGCTCTTCCAAATTATTTCAAATTTTAAAGTAGAACAACTTTCAAGGGGAAGAAACTACTCTCTTCGTTTAAAAATATAAGGCAATTTTTAATCAAATCTTACTCCCTAATAAAGTAGTTACCTACTTTTAAACTAACCATATCTTTCTATATTTATTCCTATTAAACACCCTACAATAAATATAAAGTTATTATTAATATGGATACTTTAAAAAAAAAGACAATGATTACACCTTAAAAGACTAAAAATACCTCACATTTTTTAACATTTAACTCCTCAAGTTTTTAATGGAGGGAGTATCTAATAATTCATTCAATTTTGGACCTCCCATGACATTTTCTTTGAATATTGCCCCTTTCTAAATATATCCTTAATTTTTAATTAAATAGAGGCTTGTTTTTATAGAATACTCCTTTCGGTCTTATTTATAGGATACCTTTTAAAAATAATTTTTAATCCAAAATATAAGACACCTTGCAATAATTAAATTATTTTTTAATTTTATCCTTTCTTGATTAGCTTAAAACTATTTAATGTGGTTGTATTATTATTTAAAGCTAAGGGTAAAAATAAAAGTACATCTCATTTTTTTATAATATAAAAAACTAAATTTTCTTAAGATATATGAAATAGTTAAAAACATTTTATGATAAAGAACAAAAGGAGTAGAAAATATAAATAAGTTCAACCATATGCAAGTTGAGCACGCCATTCATGGAATATGTTTCTTGTCAGATTCCTCAAAATGCAAGATACGTCAAGGAAACTCTATCACGCATTCATGTGAATGCTGATCAAGTTGGAAATTTGTCCCTCATTTAATTCCTAACAAAATTCAATGCACTGCAGCACCAAAAACAATAATTAATACTCTTCTGGTCCCATATATAAATTATTTCTAACATATTTTACCACCATCAAAAAAAATTTTAAAATTCATTAACTTCATCTTAAAATTTAATAAATTCTCAACTTTGCCTCTATTAAATATACATGCTCCAGCATATTTTCTCTCTCCAACATTTAATGGAGAGTAAAAGAGAAAATTTATGATAAAAATTTAATGACGTAACTTATAAATAGGATCAAAAAAATTATTCTCTTTTTGCCTTATAAATAGGATCATAGAGAGTACTCTGTTGTCCTATTTTATACTACCTCTTTCCCAAATTGTAAGATAATTTTAGCATATATTCGATGTCCTAAAATATAAAACTTGTTGATTAAAAAAATAAAGTTTCATCAATAATATTTTTCTAACATTACCATTCTCATATGTTCTCTCGTCTTAATATTCTTTAAAAATTGGAGCGTTAAATGAAAGACTTTTTTTAAAGTGTATATTTTTGTTTTTTAAAAAATAAGATTATAAATTGTATTTAATAAGCTTTATTGGTCTGTGTAATTTTGTTTAAAAGTGCTTTCTAATTTGAGACAAAGGGAGTACATTTTTGAGTTAGTTTAGTGTTTCAGAATATAAAACATTTTAAAAAATAAAAATTTGATTAATGATGATTATTTGAATATTACTCCTCAAACTTTCCTTCCCCATCTTTCTTTAATGAAGGGTATTTTTAAAAAATTTAGAAAAAAATTAACATTATAAACTATATGTTCAATGAAAATGCTTTATATATTATGACGGACGGGATAATATATAACTTGTCCATGCCAAAATAACAATTTTAAACAGTAGCTGAAGAAGATTACATTTCCCATCCAGAATTTTCTGGCAAAAGAGGAAAATTCTGAAGTTAATAATTGCTGATGATCAAATCATCAGAGATATGGGTTTGACCCCATTTTTTTCACATTATAATTAACTATCCTGAGTCCTCACCTCAGTCATAATCTAACTTCATCAACTGGTGGAATAATATTGCTGGAAGTTATAAAGATGACTAGGATTAGTAAAAGAGAAAGGGATTACAGTTCATAGAATAATGAACCTTGTCTCCTAGACTTTCCAATGCTTTGACCTGCGACCTGAGAAACTTGAGATAATTTGCAGCTTCATCAAGCGTTGAAGCTGTGTCCATCTTGCTTCCACCAGGCACAATCTTCTGCAAAACCCTAATCCTCTCACTTATTCTCTCTCTTCTTTGCCTCGCTGCTACAGTCTGTGGATCTGTTGAGATTCTCACATTCTTCCTTCTAGGCTTTTCCACCACCTCCAACACTAAGTCCACTGGCCTGAACGCTGCAGCCCTATATATCATCTCCTTCATGTGTGCCATGGCCTCTGCATCAGGCTCTTGGGTAATAATACTGGAATTAGATGACATGCTTGAGTTTGGCTGCTGAAAATTTATGTTTGAAGAAGGTGAGAAGTTATGTTCCCATCTAGATTTCTTCGGCTTTGGTGGATTGTTATTCTCTGGAATGAGTCCAAAACTCCTTTTTGCATGATTAAGCTCGTTACGTTCTGAAATATTATTGCCTTGATTGACCACACATGGACGTGATGAAGTGCTGTGAGAAATGGCGTCTTCAATTTCATTGACTTGATACTGAAGGACGTCGTCCTTGTTCTTTCCGCTACCACAGGAAGCTGCAGAAGCGATGTTATTACTCTTCTGAGATTTATCACCAGGGGAAACTGAACTTCCATTATTATTGTTGTTGAAGCTCCATATGTTTCTTCCACAGTTATCAGATAGAATCGTGGAAATATCCCCGTCATCTCTGTTGATGTCACTGTATGAGACGCCGCCATTGATGAGCTGTTGTTGTTGGTGGTGGTGTTGGTTGGCCATATGAGTGTCGAAATAATCTGGCACAAGATCAAAAGCTGAATAAAGATGGTGAAGATGATGATCTGTTTGAGCTGGTTTATTATTCTGCGTCTCATGCACTTGATAATCGAATTCAGGCGTGGCGTAGCATACTTTCTCTTCAATGTCTTCTGGTTGAGCGTTCCACAAGTTCGGCATATTGGTGAAAAATTCAGAAGTATCCCAGGAAAGACCATCCATGCTGTTCACTTGACAATTAATATATGTTTCAAAATTTCGAAGATCTAGTTGAGAGTGGACGAATAAGAGTTATTTCTTCCCACCTACCACATTTAAGTCAATATATCAGAGAAATTATATACTCCCTTCACTTCTTATTATAAGGTCACCCCAAATCAAGAAGAAATTCTTCAATTAATAATTTGTTTAGAAATAGAATAAATTTTCAATTTTACCTCTACTTAAATGGAAAAAAAAAATTAACTTTGTATTACATTCTCTCTCATATATAGTTAATGAGTTTAAATAGAAATAATATTAGAAAAATATAATTAATACCTCAGCAACTACCTTATATTAAGGATCAAAGAATTTTCTAGAAGGAACCATATAATAAGGATTAGAGAGAATGTGTATGAAGTACACTAAGGACTAAAGTAGTTCGAGTATTTCTTGTATATCACTCTTAATATATACCCCCTCTAGATTAAAATATAGGGGATTGTTGACGTATGTGTGTATGAAGTACACTAAAGACTAAAGTTGTCTAAGTTTCTATCGTATACCACTCTTAATATATGCTCCTTCTAGATTAAAATATAGGGCATTGTTAACTAATTTATAGTTCTTTAAAAAAATCAGTTGAAATGTTAATTTCTTAAAATAATTTACATATTTCCAATTATACTTTCATTAATTAAATATTTTATATAAGTGTTGAAATTTCAATGCATGATTTTTTCAAAAAGAGTAATAACTGAAATAAGAGTTTTCCAATGCCCTATATTTTATATCAAGTAAGGCTTATGGAAGATATCTTATATTGTTGTATGTGGGGAGTAATTATTAAGGAATAACACACATTTCCTATCAGCTTTCCTTGACAATAGACTGTCTGAGAATTTAACATGATTTTTATAGGGTAATAAGAAGAAGAACTTACCGATTCTAGATCCAGCTGCTTCAGAAAACCAAAATATAAACCCCGAAGCCAAGATTCTAAGAAAATGTTTCTTGGGAGTCTTCAATAATACTTTAGGAAAGATAACAAGAGATGACTGACTGCAGCTTTCATTTAGTAATCCGTTTCGTTGTGATGATAGCAATAAGTTCCTTTGCTGCGATGAAAGCTGTGATAAAAACCTTGTCAGATTTGAAAGAAGAAACTGAAATATTATTCTGGATTGACAATTTAAATGCAATGAAAACTTAGAAGCTTCAAGTTTTTCTGTACTGAGACACACACACACACACCACACACACACACACACACGTATATTTATAAGTATGTATAGAGAGGGTTAAAGACGAAATATATATACACATATATTTGTAAGTATGTATAGAGAGGGTTAAAGACGAAATCGTACAGATATATATCCAAGAGATGTGAGAATAGAGCGTACAAGAAAGTCGTACCTTGAGCTGCTTCCTTGGAATTGAAGACGAACTGGTGGTGCGGTTGTGTGTGTTTTTTTGCTCAAGAGAAGCCTTATATACAGATAACAAGAAGAAAACTGTTCAAGTTATTATATAACAAAAACAAATCTTGGTACTTGAACCATTAAGTCAGCAATTGAATATTATGCATAAATATTACATGAACTGTATAGTATGGTAAAAAGAAGGGGCTATATAATATACATACATATATATATATATATGCTACTTTGTAACAATTTAATTAGGGAGGCGCAGTTCATTTTGGGGAAGAAAAAGAGAAAGAAAGCATTTTGGTCAGATGGGTTGGTGTGTAAGACTATTCTTGGCAGATGGGGAACATGAAATTTCAGAGAAGAATTTTTTAATCTCTCAAGTGACTGAATATTTTAATTTTATAGTATACTTTATCTGTTGATTTTTTTTTTTTTTGTTTTACTATCTCGATGGTTTTTTAAAGTATACTCAAGCACAGCAATATGCATATAAGATTTTACATATAAAATATATTTGAAGAAACTTGAAATTAAACATTATTGTTAGAAAGAAAAATTATCTCTTCTTATTGATAACTTTTTTTGGTGGCGCATTCTTTTTCGGTGGAGAAAGGTCAGACCTCAGTTTGGCTGTGGATGCATGTACAGTCCATGCGCACTGTGAAGTTTGCAGTAAAACTGCAATGATTGGCATCACTATCATTTTCTAACACATTTCTCTTAATCATGCTTTTAACCATTGCCCGATCTGATTTTTTTAATTTTATAATATTAAATTAGGATATCTTTACAACTAAAGTGCCTAAATTCAATTCAGTACTTCTCCCATGTTTCAGCATTAGAAATCTTTAAAAATCTTGATTTAGTGTTATTCAAGTTATGAGGTACTTAAATTTCATTCTCCCTAAAAGGAATGTAATGTCTTGCCTCATTCATCAAGACATTGAAATTAAAAAAAAAATTAACAAAGTTGATCAAGTTAATAAGGATTTGATCAAAAACCCACAACTTGTGAAATACTACCAATGTGATGATCTTGTTAGTAGGAGATTTATAAGTATCTCCATAAACGCTCTTTGAGCTTGGAGATATATCTTAATGAGTATTTAGGATTTAATTTACATGAACTTTTCTTTAAGAAAAAAACAAAAAGAACAATGTATGTTATGGGGAAGAATTGTGATATTGACTTCACTTTAATTTGAAGGGGTAATATAGATATTTCACCTGATTATGTTCATTTTTTTCTGACAAAAAATTAAAATTTTAAGGTATATGTAAGTTGTCATTTAAGAAATAGATAGAAATACATATAGCTATCGTTTTAATTTCTTTCTAAGTGGATCTACTGATGACCAATATGCGTAATTATATGAAGTCCTAAACTTAGTAAAACTATATATAAATATACACAGATTAAAGACACTTGAAATAATATACAAATAGATTAAAAGCATAAATCTTACAAGATCTTGATTGCTTACAACCATCTGATTTGTGGGATTGTTCTTTAATTTTTGATAATAAACTCTCAGTGGGAAGCTTTGGAACATTAAAATGAATGCTTTCCAAATGTAAATATATATTAAAGACACTTGGAATAATATATAAAGATCTCTCTCTCTCTCTCTCTCTCTCTCTCTCTCTCTCTCTCTCTCTCTCTCTCTCTCTCTCTCTCTCTCTCTCGCCTTTTGCAAAATTGAAGCCAGAGGACCGGCAGTGATGAGAGAGCTAGGGATAATATTTTGAATTGTGATGAGTCCACATGCACCCACACATTAATACATAACTCAGTGAATGAGTGAATAATCTGAATGACTTGTAATTAATTTTGTCGACTGAATCCCATGTTTTTTTTTGTTCCTCATTTCATATTGAATTCTTCATCCCATGCATGGATTCACTTTTCCATAGCTTCTTCATACAAAAGCAATATGATCCTCTATTTAAGTGCATCTTCAAAACCACAAAAGGAGCATGATTCTCTTAATTGAAACCTTCAAGTAACTATATATAAAAGAAGAAATGGGAAAAGGGGATGCATCACAAAATTCATGATTATATTCAACTACATATGCATATCACTTTTTTTTCTTAGCTATAAAGTATAAAACTTTAAACAAGTCACGCTGTTGATCAATTATGGTCTCAAATCATACAATATACAGAAATATATATTTGTCCATATTATATATATATATACTCCATTCATCTCAAATTATAAGACAATTTAAAATAAAATTACATATAGAAATAAAACACAATAATGACACTTTCTAAATTTACTTTTTCAAAACAAAGTTATTAACTTTTAAAAATACCCCTACATATACTTAATCATTACATTATAATATCATCTTAATTTTCTCTTCTCTTGAAAGGTAATATTTAAAAGGGTTAATATGAACCCTAAACTTTTAAAAAATGTATTATGAACCTTAAATAATTAAACATCATTAAGTTTAAACAAACATCCATCAAATTAGGGCCTAATATATAATTTTTACCAAAGGAGGGTAGGAGAGAGAGGGAGAGTGAAATTTAGTAAAAATCACATATTAGGCTCCAATTTAATGAACGTTTGTTGAAATTTAACAATAAAAAAAATTATCCTAATTTTAATTATTTAGAATTTAAAATATACATTTTTTAAAGTTTATAATTTAAATTATTTCTAAATCTGTAGTTCAGAGTTCAAATTGCAAATATATCAATCCTATTAAAAAAGTATTATTAATAAAAAAATTTAACATTGTCTTATAATTTGGGATGGAAAAAGTGTAATGATTCTACATGCTTACAATCTCATGTTGGTTATATGATTATGTTTTTATAAAAAGAAAAAAAAAGGAAAGGAAAATTTCCTCTAATTAATGTTTTTCTTGGTTTGGGAATAAATTTAAAATTTTTAAAAATGAATTTGATGTTGAAATCACAATGCAAAATAGGGATTTTAAAAAAATACTCATATTTATTCTCCAACCGTATTTCAAACGAAATTATTTTTTTAATAAAAATTGTGCACGATGAAAATATACAGATTTTGGAAATTATAAGTATGATTGAAAATTCAGAATGTTTCCGCATTGAAGTGAAGCGAAACAGCTCATGACCGATTATGGGAATCTCTGGGTGCCACGCCCTTTCACGTGAATCCCACGCTCTCATTCCTACATGGCATCCGTTCATTTGACGAGATCCTAAGGGGCTGCCACGTCATCATAATGACCGTACAGCTGTACCTGGGACTACCTGCTAGGTTACTCTCATCGATTATCTCCCAATTTGTCTGCTGCACATGTTTTTAAGTCTCTATTTTTTTAACTTTTTATTATGTAACTTTCTTTATATAAAAATTAAATATAATGTCATACACGCATAATTTAATTATTTTTCAAATTTGACGATCCCAGATTGTTTTATCCTGTATTTTTATCCATCCAGCAGTAATGATCAGTAGTGGTTACCAATTGATAACAAGCAAATAAAAAAAAAATCTTTTTTGCTTGTAATAACCTTGCATCGGCAAATGCCAGTGATATCTTGAATTTCAAAAAAAAAAAAAACAAAGAGAGAGGGATAAAAAGATAAGACAACGAAATAGAATAGAAGAACAACATTTTAGAGAACAAGATATACTTAGAGATAAGATATATAATTGGAACGTACCCACAGAATTGCCTAATTAAATAATTCAGTAATTCACAGGAGTAACCTTAAACTACAACATGGTCAACCAAATGAGAAAACAAAGCAATATATATTTTGCCAGCTCCTCCATATCTCTCTTTGATTCCCTCCACATTATATGCAACAAGCTTTATTTGGAATCATGGACATGCATGTTCCAAATAAACCTATTTAAAAAAAATTCTATATATGTTAATTAAGAATTGAAATCATAAGTAGTGTGTGATATTGTGTGGTTATTATAGTCCTAGAATTCACAAGCTGGCTTATTTGGCGGAAGTGAGATGGAATGATGGTGATGTTTACTGTAAAGCCCCACGTGCAAAGATCATCTGCGTCTTGCCACTTGTTCAAATTATTGATAATCTTATTGTTGTTTTGATTGACAATTATTATTTCATTTCAATTCATTCATTATCTTCTCTTCTTTTGCACATGCCAAGTAGACACTTGAATTTCCCTTGTGAATTATAATATACTTGCAACTTGTGCCCTCTTATTTCTTGGGTACATGCTCTTCCAATATATGCATAATATAATGTGTATGTGTATTTATTTTTATGTAATCTGACTTGATTCGGATTAGTTAAAATTGAATGTAACTTTAAGAAATTAGTTGGTATTATGGTATGACAAAGATGACCAAGTGGATCGGAGGAGCAAGTATGTTAACTTACAAAGAGAGTAATTCAGCATTTATCACACTTTCTCCAAATTATCCTTCATAAAATTAGAGTTTTATTTTCATGAAACAAGCTCAATTCCTTCACATGCTTAAAATTGGTTATATGGATAGTTTAGTTCAATTTTATTAGTTTTAGATATAATTATTATGCTTAGCCAATTTTTAAAATTGTATGGGTTGGTTAAAATTTACTTATATTTGAATACAGGATTGTTATTGTGAATTATTGAAAATGAGGTGATGACTCAAGATTAATTAGAGATTGGATTAATTAACTGTGATAACCCTTATAAAAATAAATTAATATACATATATATATGATAATTGGTTTATGTATGTTTATATTAAATCCTTATACAATTATGCTAATAGAGGAAGCTGATGTAGTGGTAGTTGGGCTGGATTATTTTCATTTGGTCCCAAGTTCGAACCGTAGTGAGCCCATAGAATATTTTTCTTCCTTTGCTGATTTTCCTCATAAGAAAATTACCAAATTACCCCTAACATAATTATATTTTTATTTACTCTTCTTTTGTTCTTCAGAAAGGATTCTGGAGCAAAAGAGAAAGAGAGAGTCGGTGGAGAGAGTAAGAGAAATCCTAGGTCTAGAAATTTCACTTCCTCCGTATACAGCAGTCACTGGCGTTGAGGTTCCGTCCGCCGTTGCTAGTGGATTGAGGTGTGCGTAAGTGGCTTCCTTCTTCCTTGCCGTGACGCCGTCTGATGTGTATGCGGGCTCGAGCTGCAACTCGCCTTCTCCTCTGTTCTGGGTGTTATAAAAGAGCACGCTAAACCTTCTCCTTCTTCCTCCTTGAATCGTTGCTGCTTCTCTTCAGTTTTAGCTGTTATTATCGTCGGTACGCTTGCCTTTACTCCATCTGTCGTTGGTCAGTCAACGAGTGATCTTTGCACTCTGTTTTCTTTATTTATTTCAGATTACCGAGCTCTTTCTCCCTTCTTTATCCAGGTGCATGTGTGAGTATTTAGATCTTCCTTCTCTTTATTATCACCAGTGATTATTGTTGGAAAGAGTTGGAGACTTGTGCTGCACCGATTGCTCCGGCTATCTTTCGTGCTCTTTGTCTCTGTTTTTTTTTCCTCTTCGTTTTCTGTTTTGGTTCTATCTGTGGCGTCATCTTCGAGTAACAGCTGGGATGAGAAACCAAGTTGCCAGAGCTGCGGCAGTGCTGTTATGAATATGGATTATTGTTGCTGATTCATTTCCTGTGTTTCCTTGCGAGTAGTGCTCAGTTTTCTGCGTCCCTGTTCTGCTGCAATCTTCATTTTCTTCTTCTTTCTCCTTTGTTGTCCGCTGCCATCTGGGTTGAGAAGGTGAGAAATTTTAAACTCTCCTATTGCTAATCCACTATGTCGTGAGAGTAAGAGATAAGGACATGTGTGACGTGCGTATACGTGAAATGCAGAAGTAGAGTTGTATGCGCTACTATTACTGTTTGGTATATGTAATCATGGCAACCTCACATTGTTCTGTCATTATTCATGCTGTTACGTAAGAAAAAGAAGAAAAAGGAAGAAGAAGAGAGGAGGAATTTCTATTTAAATGAATATTGCGGTTATGCAAGGAAGCAAGATGATATTGTAGATTGAGATTCCAATTAGAAATTATGGAATTAGACGATATTGCAAGATCTCAATAAAACTGAAAAAAAAATTAGGAAGGAAAAATATTAACATCAACTTCGACAATTATGTATGTATGTATGTTGTTTGGTAAAATACCCAGGACAAATTTATTTAATTATTTAATTATTTATTTATTTATATTCTAATAGGGTGTGCAGAAGAAAGGGAACCTGACCAAAATTGAAAGAAAGGATATCTTTAAAAATTTTGAAGCTCCGACGAGTAAGTGAATAGCATTCCATTTAATATTTTATCTTTATTTTAATAGCCTCTTCCTGAATTATTTTTCTTATGAATTATATTAATTATGAAAATTTTAAGATATCAGTGAAAGACAAACGAGTTATGATATATGCATTCATTGATTTTTACAAAGATATTTCCAAGTTTGATGGAAGTAATCTTGTATGGTTGTTAAACTTTGAAATTTATTGGATACTCGATTAATACAAAGTTATGATTTTGACAAACGTTGAGATTTGACACAATTCATGCGAGTTTGATTTTGAAAATGACAATTTAAATTCAAAATAATCATTTCTCTCGCATGTTGAAATGGGATTTCTAAGAGAACTTTACACAGAACACTGTTACTAACGGCAGTTCCGTTAGTCCGTAGCGCGCTGTGGTTAAATACTAGCTAGTTTGTTTCGTGAGTTTTATTCTCACGTTTGGTATTCGTGGGCTTCATACCCGCGTTTGATTTCGTGGCCTGAGCCACGTTTGGTTACTTACCCTCGTGGGCTGTGTGTCCACGTTTGATTCGTAGCTCCGGCTGCGTTTGGTTATTTACCCTCGTGGACTGGTGTGTCCACGTTTGTTTTCGTGGCATAAGCCGCGTTTGGTTATTTACCCTCGTGGACTGAGTGTTCACGTTTGTAACCTGTTCTGTTGAGTTCTCGAAATTTTAAATGTTGATTAATATGTATTTTTGAAATTTATCCGGTGTTGACTAGTAATTTGTATTACTTTGAGTTATATGAGAGCAAATGGTTTCTTTAAGCATGAGAACATAAATTGTTCTCTACTTATTCTTATTTTTCAAATATGATTATAATTTATATGCTTATAATTTTGGTGGAATTACTTTCAATTATTTGACACCATTATTAGAGACTGTCAATTTAAATTTTAAGAATTTTATTATGGGAATGCTATTCACTGGAAAAATTATTTGGCTTCAGATTGGTTAGCTGACGCCGATTCTACCAGCAACCTCAAAAGGGCAACTAGCTACAGTGGGTGGATATTTTGATTGGTATTATTGTCTTTATGTAAATATATAATTTGTATGTCCTTTTGATTTGAGAGAAGAATAGATGCTCCACATAGGTTGTTGATAAACTTTATTTTTGATCTGTATATGGGTTGTTGGCTGGAAGGAGCTACGCTCCTGATTTATACTGTTATCTGTCAGAATTTTGTTGTAGAATTTTCGGGAGATCCTAGTTACAGGGGAGGTTCTGCCGAAATTTTTACAAAAATATCGACACTCTTTTATAATATTAAATCCAATAAGTTATTTTAAATTTTCATAGGATTTGATTAAATTTTGTTCCTTTCTTTTGTAAAAAAAAAATGAAAAAATGAAATCAATGTTTATTTTAAGGCTTACGGGAATGTGTAAGTGACTCATACCCGTGCCGGTCACCCTCTATTTTGGGGTGTGACAATTTGGTATCAGAGCCAAGGTTTTTACATATAAAACTATGTGGAGCAGAAACTTGCCAGTGAGGTTTCAATTATCATTATGAACCCGGGCATAATTATAATTGAGACATCATTGGAAGTTCTATAGGAAGTTTTCAAACGACGTTTGTTTTTTTTTATTGACTTTTTATTATATAAAGGAATTGTATTTTGAATTAAATATTTCTTTTGTTTCTTGATATAGTGAAATATGCCACCCAGACGTCGAGTATCTACCAGGAGCTCCACTAGCAGTAGAGCCTCTGGCAGAATTTCTCCGACAGATGATATGCCCTTGAGAGGTAGAGGACGGCGTCAGAGTAGGATCAGGGCTAGGGGTGGTCGAACCCTTAGGCCCCTTCAAGATATTCCTTCTAGAAGTGATCGAGTAAGTTCTCAATCTGAAGAACAAACAGTCCCTTCGACAAATGATACCCCAGAGGAAAATCCTATAGTTAAGTTATCGGAGTTTATGAAGCTAAACCCATCATCTTTTTCGGGAACTAATGCACGAGAGGACCCAATTGAGTTTCTCGAAGGAATTGAGAAGAGATGTAGGGCCTTGAGATGCCCTGATGCTCAGTATGTTGAATTTGCAGTGTTCCAACTTCAAGGGGTAGCAAGTACTTGGGCAAAAACAGTCCCAGGTTTGCATGCAACGAGAGCACCTTCTTTAACTTGGGAAGAATTCAAGACTACATTTCTAAATCGCTATTTGCCTCAGAGCACTAGAGACGCAAAAGTTGAAGAGTTTCTGACTTTAAAGTGTAGTAAAGGAATGTCTATAGTAGAATATGACCAGAAGTTTACTGAATTATCCTCTTTTGCTCCTCATATTATACCGACTGAAAAAGAACGAATTAGCAGGTTTGTACAAGGATTACCAGTTGACATACATGACAACATAGCACCTATGTTGAGTCGTGATATCACCTATGCTGAGATTGTTGATAGTGCATTGAGAATTGAGAATCGACATAAGGCAGAAGAAGCAATTTCTAAGAAACGCAAGAGGGAGCATGATGAGAAATTTCCTGGTTCTTCTTCCAAGAGTCATCAATTTTCAAGTCAATCTCACTTTCGTGCCTCACAATCTAAGCCTAGATCATTTGGTTCACCATCAGTAAGCACTCCCGTTGTGAGACCCAATTCTGGTAATGTGAGACCTCGAGCCCAGTCAGTGCCGAATCAATCGGGTTATGCTAGAGTCCCTTGTAATAGTTGTGGAAAATATCATTCGGGACCGTGCTATAGAGTGTCTGGTGCATGTTTTGAATGTGGACAGACGGGCCATTTGAGAAGAAATTGTCCATATCTACAGTCTGTGTCAAGTCACGGATCAATTCAACCTTCTCCTCGCCCTACTTCCTCATCAATCCCACCTGCTAGAACTGCTTCTACTTCAGCTAGCAGGGGTAAATTTGGAAGGGGAAATGGTCAGCGGGGACAATCTTCCTTAGGACAAAGGCAGGCGAGAGTTTATGCCATGACAAGACAGGATGCTAAAGCCTCAAATGCTGTTGTTACAGGTATTATAACTGTGTGTTCTAATCAAGCTTATGCATTATTTGATCCTGGATCCACTCATTCATATGTGTCCGCTTATTTTGCTAAGAGGTTGGGTAAAGAACCTATCCAACTTGATAAGTCATTTGTAGTTGGTACTCCAGTAGGGGAATCTTTAATTGTTTCTTATGTGTACAAGTCTTGTGAAGTGTCTCTTGAGGGCAGAGAAACCCTTATTGATTTGATGATGCTTGATATGATTGATTTCGATGTCATCCTGGGCATGGACTGGTTAGCTTCTTGCTATGCTACCGTTGATTGTCACTTAAAAGTAGTGAAATTTGATATTCCAGGTGAAACTTCTTTTATATTGCAAGGAAGTTTTATAGAAAGACCTACTAATCTTATTTCAGCTTTAAAAGCCCAACAATTACTGCAGAAGGGTTGTCAAGGTTTTTTAGCGGTGATAAGGGACATTGATAAACCCACTGTTAGTTTGGATCAAATTCCTGTTATTCGGGAATTTCCTGACGTTTTTCCAGAAGAGTTACCTGGATTGCCACCTGATCGAGAGATTGAATTTGCCATTGATTTAGTTCCGGACACTCAACCAATTTCTATTCCACCTTATAGAATGGCACCTTCTGAGCTGAGAGAACTAAAGACTCAATTGCAAGAACTGTTAGATAAGGGATTTATCCGACCTAGCACATCTCCTTGGGGAGCACCAGTACTTTTTGTGAAGAAAAAGGATGGGTCATTAAGACTCTGTATTGATTATCGGCAGCTTAATAAGGTGACGGTGAAAAACAGGTACCCATTGCCTCGTATAGATGATCTTTTTGATCAGTTGCAAGGAGCTCAGTATTTTTCCAAAATAGATTTACGTTCAGGTTATCATCAATTAAAGATCAAGAAAGAGGATATACCTAAGACTGCATTTAGAACCCGATATGGTCATTATGAATTCCTAGTAATGTCATTTGGGTTAACTAATGCACCAGCAGCTTTTATGGATCTAATGAATCGGGTGTTTAGACCGTTTCTTGATAAGTTTGTGATTGTTTTTATTGATGATATTCTGATATACTCAAAGAGCCTAGAGGAGCATGAACATCATTTACGGATGGTTTTACAGACGATGAGGGAACAACAACTTTATGCCAAATTCTCTAAATGTGAATTTTGGCTTGATAAAGTTACCTTTTTAGGACATGTTGTTTCTAAAAATGGTATTCAAGTGGACCCAGGCAAAGTAGAAGCGGTGCAAAATTGGCCAAGGCCAACAACTGTTACAGAAATTCGCAGTTTCTTAGGTCTTGCAGGATATTATCGTCGTTTTGTCAAGGATTTCTCTAAAATAGCAGCTCCACTGACAAGATTAACTCAAAAGAATGTGAAATTTGAATGGAGTAACAAGTGTGAAGACAGTTTTCAAAAGTTAAAGGAGTGTTTGACTTCGGCACCAGTTTTGAGTTTACCATCAGGCAATGGAGGGTATGTAGTTTATTGCGATGCTTCTCGTGTGGGTTTAGGCTGTGTTCTAATGCAGCATGGACGAGTTATTGCTTATGCCTCAAGGAAACTTAAGAAACACGAGCAAAACTACCCAACTCATGACCTAGAGATGGCAGCAGTTGTTTTTGCGTTAAAAATTTGGCGTCACTATCTTTATGGTGAGACATGTGAAATCTATACTGATCATAAGAGTTTAAAGTACATTTTTGAGCAAAAAGATCTTAATCTTAGACAAAGAAGGTGGATGGAGTTACTGAAGGATTATGACTGTACAATTCTTTACCATCCTGGTAAGGCAAATGTGGTGGCTGATGCCTTAAGTAGAAAATCGATGGGTAGCTTGGTGCACATGACTTCGACAAGGAGGCCTTTGGTGCAAGAAATTCATAAACTTGAGCAGAGTGGAGTCAAGTTTGAAATTATTGATAAGGGACCATTTCTGGCTCATGTACAAGTTCGTTCTTCTTTAATGGATCAGATTAAGAGCGCTCAATTTTCAGATCCAAAATTATGCAAGTTAAAAGAAGCAGTTATAGCTGGAAGTAACATTGAGTTTGAAATTGACCAGGAAGGAATATTAAAGTGCAAGGGTAGAATTTGCGTGCCACACGAGGAAAACTTGAAACGACTTATCATGGAAGAGGCTCATCATTCTTCATATACCGTGCATCCAGGAGCAACTAAAATGTATCAAGATTTGAAACAACTGTATTGGTGGGATGGCATGAAAAAGGATGTGGCAGACTTTGTCTCACGCTGTTTGACATGCCAGCAAGTTAAGGCAGAACACCAAAAGCCAGCTGGGCTACACCAAAGGTTAGAAATACCAGAATGGAAGTGGGAAAATATCACAATGGACTTTGTCACCGGGTTACCTCGCACTGCTAAGGGGTATGATTCTATCTGGGTTATTGTTGATAGACTGACGAAATCAGCTCATTTCATTCCAGTAAAGACAACATATAATGTTGATAAATATGTTCAATTATATATTGATGAGATTGTGCGATTGCATGGAATTCCAATATCCATAATTTCTGATAGAGGTCCTCAATTTACTTCCCGATTTTGGAAATCTTTCCAAGAAGCTTTGGGCACTCGATTAGACCTTAGTACTGCTTTTCACCCACAAACTGATGGCCAGTCTGAGAGAACCATTCAGATACTTGAAGATATGTTAAGATCTTGTATTCTGGATTTTGGTGGCAGTTGGGACCGTTACTTAGCTTTGGTAGAGTTTTCTTATAACAACAGTTATCAATCTAGCATACAAATGGCCCCATATGAAGCACTTTACGGCAGGCAATGTAGGTCTCCTATTGGGTGGTTTGATGTTGGTGATACTAAGCTGTTGGGACCAGATTTGGTGCAAGATGCTATTGAGAAAGTGAAAATAATTAGAGAAAGATTAATAACAGCCCAAAATCGACAGAAGTCTTATGTTGATAATCGACGTCGAGAATTACAATTTATAATTGGAGACAAAGTATTTCTTAAGGTGTCTCCTATGAAAGGAGTAATGAGATTTGGGAAAAAGGGTAAATTGAGCCCAAGATATGTTGGTCCATTTGAAATTCTGGAAAAAATTGGTGCAGTTGCTTATCGTTTGGCGTTACCGCCTGAATTGTCAGGTATTCATCCGGTGTTTCATGTATCAATGTTACGGAAATATTTATATGACCCTTCTCATGTAATTGAAGCTCAGGGGATTCAAATATCCCCAGACTTATCTTATGAAGAAGTTCCAGTAGCTATTTTG